AGGCTGCAGTATAGATGTAGCCACAGGTAATCCAATCCAGTACTTCACCAGCCTTCTAGTGAAATAGTATTTTCTAACATCCAACCTATACCTCTCCCACTGGAACTTGAGACCTTTGCTCCTCATTTTGTCAACTGTCACCACTGCAAACAGCCTTTCTTCATCCTCTTTGGAACCTCCCTTCAGGTAGTTGAAGGCTGCTATCAAATCCCCCCTCACTCTTCTCCTCTCTAGACTAAATAAGCCCGAATCTCTCAGCTTCTCCACATAAGTCATACCAATAAGTGATACTAATGTATTTCCCCTGACTTTATGATTACTGAAACACACCATACAAGGCTCTTGAGACTCCCAGAATTTTCTGATTTAGATGGATTAGAAATACACCAAGGGAAATAAAAGGGTCCTTAGCTTGTCATTGTAAATGCCAGCACTGACGTGTACAACTCCCTGATTTCAGATCAGACCGATATCTAAACATTAGCATTTCCCCCATGATTAGTTGTCGGAGCAAAGGGGCATCCATAAAATTGAGATGCAAAGGCAGATGCCTTTAAAAATGTAGGCCAATATTTTCAAAATAGCTGCCTACAGGTAGGCTCTGACGTCCATTTTGATATACCTAAATAAATTAATGGAAGTTGCTCAGTGACTCAGCATTTTGGAAAAAATCGGGATCTTTTTTTCTGAATCAGGAAAATCAGGAGCTAAATATGGATTTAAAGCTGGGATTTTGAAAGCTGTCTAAGGGACTAAGGACATTTGGAACTGGAAATTCAGCGGGAGTTGGGCATCTAAATCCCTTAGGTCCTTCTAACATTTCAGTTTAAGGTTCTCCTTTTGGAAATTTTAGGCTTAGCTGACTTAGATCAATTGCTGCTTTGGAAGGTAGAAAGGATCTTGACACCAGAGCTGGATGATTTTGTGACCACTGGCAACAAGTAGAATGTTTAAAACACGGATCGTGTAATCTTTACCAATCAAGCATATTATGAATGGATTCCTGCAAAGATAATGGAGGATTATTTTTGCTCAGTGCAGAGTATTCCACAATTATGAGATTTCAGGCCTTCCTCTGGTTATTGCTGATGAGAAGGATGATGCCAGAGGGTAGTGAAATAATAGCCTGACCTTCTGATCCAGTCCGGCAACCCCACATATGCCATTTATCTTTTAATTTCTGTAGGTTCGTCTTCACTCCTGCATTCATGTGTCATTCCACTAGATGTCAATGTTCCCATTGGTATGAACAAACTTCCTCTGTTGTCATGCTGGATTAATTGAAAAGCATTATAAAATGCTAGATCAGATGGATTATTATTATCCTTACCTTTCAAACCATGGGTTTTAGGAAGAATAAACGGATCTCTTTTGTCATAATTCTTTTGTCTAGGCCTAACTCTAGAATACACACATGTAGTGTTTATTAAAGAAAAGTGCCCAGTGGGTAATTGTATGTGGAAGGTCATATAAGGACAGTTCTATTTGTTCAGCATATGACTCATGCAAAAACTCATGGTCTTAAGATCCTGGATTTCTAACTGCCATGAACTGGTAGGATAGTTTCCCCATCTCACTAATGTTGGATTGTGTACGTGACAGGGATTCTTAGCAATGGCTACCATGATTTTGACTGAATTTCTGCATTTGGGTCAAGCAATGCTAATGCATTTCCAGATTCATTCCTGGTATGTCTCATAAACGTATCTATGGATATGTTGTGTGTATGTAAGTAGTTGTTAGGGCACTGGATGAGAATTAGGGGGAGTAGCTTTCTATCTGACTAGGGATGTAAAGGGTTAGTCAACAGGATAGTCAGCTAATCACTTCTGCCCCCACCTTACTGCCTCTATTAGATAGAAGCAGCGGAGGGGAGGGGGGGAGGGTACTTCAAAGTGGCAGCACTGCTTGAAGCCTGGGGACAGACCCCTGGAGTTGCTGCTTTGAAATGCACATGTAACCCAAGGCCAGCTGGGGTGTCTCCAGGTTTCACATGGCATTTCAAAGTGGCAGCATCACATAGAGCCCAGTATCAGTGACCCAGGACTCCATGTGGCACTGCCACTTTGAAATGCAGCAGAGAGCCCGGTGTTAGGGACTCCCTAGCTGACCCTGAGCTCCACGTGGCACTTTTGCCTTTGAAGTGTAGTAACAGGGCTGTTGCTACACTTTAAAGGCTGAAGAACCATATCGACTAATCAAATAGTCGATGCAAAATGTATCGACTATTCAATTAGTCAATACTTAACTTCCTTATATCTGACTAAACATATGGGATATGATGTAAACAAATATGAGTCGATGCAAAATGCATCGACTATTCAATTAGTCAATACTTAACTTCCTTATATCTGACTAAACATATGGGATATGATGTAAACAAATATGAGTGTTTACTCCTTGTGGTCTATGAAGGAACTTTCATTTTCACTTTTCCTTGAGGTACAGCAAGGTAGGATCTCTCAGTCTATTACTACTGACCATCAATGTTCTCTCTAATCTTTTCCATCCACATGTGGAATACATTTTGTTATGTGCACCGAGGCTTGTGTGAATGTGAACCACCAGACGAGACACAAACCTAGCTGTCACCACTCTGCCTAATCAGGTGGGTAGCATTGAAATCTCTCCTGAATGGCCGCACAAGCACACAACTTATAGGGAATACTGCTGCCCATCCCCATATTACATGTAAGCCCTTCCGTGTCAACACATAACAGTAGCTAAGTATTAGTAGACTTCATGAGTTATAATAAGTATGCCTTGAAAACAGGAAAACGTATTAATTTTAATGGTTTGTGGCCTACAAAGCATTTAGGCAAAGATAAAAATGGATACTGGAAAAACAATTTGATGCAGTGTGCAAACCTGTATAGTTGAAGGGCAAAGATTTTCATTTCACTGTAACATATCTCTGGATAAGTCACTAATCACATAAAGAGAAGGAGAATAAAAGTAAAGCTGAAAAGGTCTGAGAGGTAGATTTGAGTATCCTGGATATATCTAGTGATAGAAATGTAGCCGTGTTAGTCTGGTGTAGCTGAAACAAAAAACAGGACTGTGTAGCACTTTAAAGACTAACAAGATGGTTTAACAGGTGATGAGCTTTCGTGGGCCAGACCTATTTGATCTGAGGAAGTGTGTCTGGCCCACGAAAGCTTATCACCTATTAAACCATCTTGTTAGTCTTTAAAGTGCTACACAGTCCTGCTTTTTGTTTCTAGATATATCTGGACTTTTGATGAAAAATAAGGATTTTTTTGCATAAATAATCCCAAGTTAGATGCCAAAGAATATAAAAATTACCATTTTAGTTGTCCATCAAATCTAGTATCATGTCTTTAATAATGGGCAGTACCAGATGTACCAGAGGAAGTTATACAATTCCCGTGATTTTCCAACATCAACATGGGCAGTTTTTTTCCCCCAAACTTCAGGCACTTGCTGTTTTTTAATAGGATTGCTGTTCTTTATTCCCAGTTAACTGTAAATTGCTTAATTGACATAAACATAGAATCCTGTTAAGCTTTTGGTGTCTATGATTCTTCTGGTAATGTATTCCACAGGTGAATTATGTGCTGTGGGCAAACACAATTTCCATTCCTCAATTCTGAAATGTGTTGTATTTTAATTTTCATTAACTGTCCTCTTGATGTATTATCACATAGTAAATCTTTTCTTGTCTCTATTCCATTTATCTTTGTATGATGCTAGCCTGTCACCTCTTATTAATCTCCTTACACTACATATTATTTGATCTGTCTCCTTATGGAAATCCTTTTACAATTTAAATATTTTTGGTGCTCTTCTCAGAAGCTTTCCCATTTCTGTTCTACAGTGTTTGAGATGGGATGACCAGATTTGAACGCAGAGAGAACTCACGATAGCTAAAAGGGCAAATGTGATCCTTAGATATAGAAATAGGGGAATCCTAAGTAGAAACAGAGTGGTTATATTACCTCTGTATTTGATGCTGCTTTAACCATTATTGCAATATTATCTAGTTCTGGTGTCTACAATTCAATATCGCAAAATTGCCTTTATGCAGAGTTCATCATGTAGAATGTCCTGATCACAGTCTATAAGGCCCTACATGGGGAACAGAGATTTGATAGCAGAAGTCTTTGCAGTCTAACAAGAAGGCTGAGTCTAGACTGGCAAGTTTTTCCGCAAAATCATCTGATTTTGTGGAAAAACTTGCCAGCTGTCTACACTGGCTGCTTGAATTTCCGGAAAAGCACTGACGAACTCATGTAAAATCATCAGTGCTTTTCCAAAAATACTATGCTGCTCCCGTTTGGGCAAAAGTCTTTTTCCGAAAGACTTTTGCACAAAAGGGCCAGTGTAGACAGCATAGTACTGTTTTCCGCAAAAAAGCCCCCATCGTGAAAATGGCGATCGGGGCTTTTTTGCAGAAAACCGCATCTAGATTGGCCACGGACATTTTTCCGCAAAAAGTGCTTTTGCAAAAAAGCATCCTGCCAATCTAGACGCGATTTTTCCGAAAATGCTTTTAACAGAAAAGTTTTCCGTTAAAAGCATTTTCGGAAAATCATGCCAGTGTAGACGTAGCCGAAAGGTATAACAAGACCCAATCTTTGGAAAACGAAGCTAGACATATTTAAATTACAAATGAGACATATATTTTTAACAGTGAAAGTAATTAATCAGGGGATCAATTTACCAAGGGATGTGGTAGATTCTCCTTAGCTGGAAAATTTTAAATCAACACTGGATGATTTTCTAAAAGATGTGGCCCAGTTCAGGGGGTTGCCAAAATGTGATTAGTATGATGTGAGACCTTGTGGGAAGTAATACACTGAAACAGGATGGTCTGGCCTCTTTAAAGAGTAGTGAGGACTCATCTAGCCACTGCCTGTTTCATAATGCAGCCCATTTAAGGAAACAGATATTGACAAGAGCAGCTGCCTCGCTGATGAATGAGACTAAGTTTTAATCGGGGACCTATATCCTTAACAGGACAACACCCAGCCCTTAGATGAATCCCAGGAAGAGAGAAAGGGAAGAATTAAAAGGGAGCATCAAGATCAGAAGAGAAACATCCTGGGATGGGAACCAGAAGGGGGACTGGTAGGTTGGGGAAGCCTTCCTGAATCATAGCATCAGTCAAGGAGAAGTCCTGGGGAATTGGATCAGAGAAAAGAGTTCATGAGTCCAAGGAGCAGGCAAGGCTCTATGAAATGGGACTGGAACCTGGGTAATGGTGGGCCAGGGAAGTCTGCCTGAACTGTAACTCAGCCTATGAAGGAGGGGTTTGGAATCCCATAACTGAGAGGAAAGATTTGAGAGTCCTGGGAGCCGAGCAGGGGAAACTCTGTGGAAAAGACTCTCCAAAGGCACCAGAGGCTGGTGTGGCTCCTGCCCTCACACG